TGCGTTAATGGAGAGCGGGCTCGCTACGTGGCCTCCGGGGCCGACGTGGCGTCTGGCCGGGTCTGTTCCCGGCTTTATGCCGCTAAAACCTGAAGCTGACAAACAAGGGGAAAATCTCAACGGAAAAACCAACAAATAAACCTAGGGTATCATTTTGTATGCACAAGGAAATCTAGATAGGTGAACAAGCGCATTCACGTTAATGGTATGTCAGTTCAGACACGTTTTGTCAAAATAATCACAGTAATAAAAGAACCCAAAGCGACTATTCACTCCCGTATTCCGCCCAAAATAAGTTGTAAATATCCTTCACCGTATATGTAAGGACTTTACAAATGTTTTCATTATCAATTAGCTTCACAAAGTTTATTACAGCTCAAACTCCATGCGAACTTCATTTAGCCAACCAGTCAAACATTCAACCGTTTGGTAAGTCAGTGGGCTTAACCCTGCACCCATCCAAACCCCCGTCAAACGGATTAATATTTATTCCAATAGCCGACCAGCCCAACGACCCCATGCACACGTATGCCGGTTAACACTATTGCCCAGTAATATAGGGACAACCGACCAGTCAACCAGGCAGGCCTGCCACACAACAGGTACATTGATACGTCAGCCACTGATTAATGAAAGCTAGTAAGCCGATCTGGTGCCCAGCAGTGGGACGTAGTTTGCTGACCAGCAATCCACCTCACAGACTGGCTGTAACTGGGGGTTCATTATTGATCTGTTGGCCGGAGGCGAGCCCTTTAATCTGTTGGTTATAGCAGCCAGTCATCCATTTGTCTGACCAGCCAGTTTAAGGGGCAGTAAGTTGTGGGTTTTACTGCCTGGGCAGTTTCATGGGTCGGCCGAGCATGCTACTAATCGGGCGGTTGTAATAGCTGCCGCCCAAACATGCTGGTAGAGCTCATTGTTGTGAGCTGGCCAGTATACCTGCTTACCCGGACCCATGCAGTAGCCTTCTCGACAGAGGTATAAGGCCAGGCAGCAGCTATTCACTGGGAGCCAGCCCAAGCTAGTCGCTTGGTAGCAAGACACCCAACTAAGCACAAATAAGAGTGGATGTTTTTTGGTTGTATGCCAAAATGCTGGCCAGTGAGTAACCCAGTCCGTAGGCTCGTGGGTCAGTTATCCGACCAAGGTTATTGTGGTCATTGGCTGGTCACTTAGCCTGGCCAAGTCTCTTACCATCCAAAAGCAAGCAGTATGGACAGGATAAAGACAGCAAACGGACCATTTTCAAGCCAGTTTGCCAGCCAACAAGCTGGCCGCCTATCTTCTCCCTTGTAATCCCCCGACATCTTCCCCGCGACATCTGCTGCGCTATTTTCCCCTACAATCTAGACAAGAAACATCCTTCATTTCTGTTGTCTCTCTCCTGAGCTCGACCAGCCGGCTCATGTACACCGTTTCCCCCATCCACATTCGAGCCAATTTACGCCCATAACCAGCCGTGCGTGAAATGGAATCTTTGCAGTATCGTGATGGATGGCATTCGGTCACATATATAATTCAAATACGCCAATATAGGAAATAGGGCATATAAACGGTCGGTCATTAAAGCATTAAAAATTCAGTAGGAAAACATAATTTTTTTGTCTCTCAAGCGAGAACGGTTTCCTCCAATTTAAAGAAAAGAAAGAACGAAGAAAAAGCCATAAAGTTTAACAAGATTTATATGGGTGATAAAGGTAAACATGGGAGCATAGCACACGCAATGACAGTCATCAGACATTCATGACAATCTCCACTGTGAATGGGAGTCGCGTCACAGCGGGAGAACGAGCGGTCTAAGAAATTCGGTTCTGCTCATAAAAATCGAGCCTTTTGAATTTTTTTTTTGGCCCTTTTCGTTTGGTGTCACAGCCATCTAACAGAAACTTGATAAATGCTCACTTCTCTATCTGGCAACTGAATGAGACGAAAAGAATCGAATGTTGACACCGAGTTTGGGGAGAACAAAGACGTTTGGAGGATATTCTTCTTCCGATTGGAATTAAGGATCAGAGCGCGAGATGTCCTTCAAAGGTGTGGGGAATGCGTGTCCCCGGCTAACGCGTTCCGCCGAGATCAAAACCCAATTCTTCACAATTTGGCGCCAACCGACCGTGGCAGGACGAAGGATTTAGGGCCCTGACTAATATAAAAAAATTTTACTGGTTCCGGCCGTCGAACAAAGTAATATAATTTGACTGTCTTTCTGGTTCAGACTGATTAGCGGTTTTTGCTGGTTATCAATAACACTTTAGGAGGACAATTCCAGCTCCAATGTTGATTTATGGTCGGTTTTCTGAAAACACCAGGACTTTTCTTTGCCGAAAATTATTTTAAACTACTTTTGGGGATTTAGCAGTAGGCCCCCTAAGCCTATTTAGGGAATGGATGACACTTTTTTTCAGACAATGGAATTTAGGAACGGACGGAAAACTCATCTGTATTTGAAACAGATCTGGCGAATGACCCACAATTAAAGTATTTATTTTGAGCGCCTGGGGACAGGATTGTGGCTAGAAGGGATGAACTCTGTTCAGGCCTGTCAACAACAGTCATCTTTGTTCTCTGCCAAGAGTCTGTGTGGAACCGTGAAACGCCACCCGTATTCAATTGTGGTCTATCTAGTGGTCTGAATTTCTTTTGATTTATTTTTTACTTCCTGACCACCTTTGGGGTAAAATTTTCGGGATACATGTATTTCAAAATAAAATCTGTTACGGTACGCAAATAAAAGAAAGCTGTTCGGCTTTTACTCCACGTCGAACGCTGCCTTTATTGTCATCGACTGAACGATTGTTGCTGTGGTGTAGGGGTCCATGGTGTTTTGTACACCAGAAGGGGGCAAATGGCACCCTCGGCTTCGCCTGGAGTGCCATATGCCCCTCGGGTGTACAAAACCCATGGACTCCGTCAAAGCAGGTAACAATTGTTTTGTTATGTACCACGGTCATAGCTTACACTGGAACGGTCTTATGTGTAGTATATGCATATTTCATTGCAAAATAGATTAAAACGCTTTGACAAACTGAAACACTTCAAAAGCAACGTAAATATTAAATTACAAGGAAAATCGTTGATTGTGATATCTTTTATTGATTTTTTTGGGTGGACGGAGAAGTCTAGGATTTATAACAAGCTAGATTACTTGAGAAACCTGGGATTCACAAGATATGATCTAACCGTCACAGTGCTTCAATGTCCCCCACACAGTGCATATCTCCTGTAGGCACATAGCACCACCGCTGCTATCCACCCTTGTACCCAAGATTACATAGTTACACGCAGTGGACACGACACATCAACTGTGGGAAAGATCACCATTATCCATCATTTTTTGCGGCCCGGCAACATCTCCAGTGCGCTCGACGCGTGAATGATACATGCACACTTGTAGCACATAACGTGATCAATTCGCGACCAATACAAATTCACTATCTAGGCCCTATGACCGTGGTATAACAAACTTAGATGAAAAATAACCTTTTCACATCATTTCCGAAGCACGACGACCCTGATTATCTGAGAGTGCTTCTCTGTCATGTTTGGTTAGGCTTGCTTTAGACGAAGGGTTCAGGGCTCCAGGCGATGAATTTTTCTTTGACGCGATGTTGTTTTGCGGGGAGAGGAGGTTATTGCCGTGTGCTTATACAACTATGAATCATCAAAGAAAAGGAACTATAGAACACAAGATATCAAATAATCCAGCATTCTTTGCATTTTGTGGGCACAAATCAATGCAAAATTGAAATTTGCTCCCAGAAATGATATCACGGTTTTGGTCTTGAATATGGAAATTCATGTGATTACACAGAACCTCCAATACCTTTTATAAAAATTGAAAAACGCACTACTTGAAATATAAAGGTGCGTTTTAAAGATGCGTACACGTGTATGGGGAAAACTGCATTGCACATACCCTTCAATAGAGCAAAATATGACATAGCAGATTATTAATTTGTGATTCGTCTCGTAGGCAACAATCTGTGTGGGGGAGAGGAAGGCATTGGGGGGGGGGAGAAGGCGGTTAATACGGTCTTTTTATGGTTAAAATGTCTGCACAATCGGAGCAGGAAATCACAGTGCCACAACTACCTGCCAAAGATGCACCGACGACTAATAACTTGCCCCAAATAATAAGATTTCGTGCTTGGAAATGTCAACAAGACTCCCGAATCAAAAGCCAGACGAGACAGGTTGAAAGGTGACACTTGTCTCTCTCTTTCGAGAAGAAAATGGGAATGGCCTACCGCGAGGCTCTCTTTTCTTTATTGTTCATATACATCAGGGTCGTGCCCAGGGACAAAAGGCTCATGGAGAGTCCAACCAAAAACAAGAAAGGGGGGGGGGGAGCAAGAGGGCATAATCTTCACACATCGACGCCCGTCGAAAACAGGGGCCCCCAAAAAAAGGACTAAATATCTGGTTTCGTATACGCGACGAGGAACAATGTTGGCGCGTGGTACAGCAGGATCCATTTCTAAAATTGTTGTGTCTTTTTTTTTTTGTCCCTGGAGGCGGGCTGTGTTGACGCCAGTATTTGTCACCGCCTCTTAACAATAACCGGCCTCCCTGCAGGGCGCGCAGAAAGTGACTTTACGGCCTCTGGTGGTGCTTGCTTGCGAGGAACTTGTTTTGGAGTAGATTTTGTTGTTCTGCTTTCTGGTACTCGTGTTTGTAGGTGTGGGGTCGGGGGTTGCTTTTTAAAGCCTACTGGCTGCAGACAAAACACACGTGAGGAATCTGATTGTTTGGTACCAAGATCGAGCCGTGCCGACAAAAAGGGCCGCAACAGGTCGCGAAAACAGCGACGAAATGGCGCACTATATTGGACGGGGGGTGTAAACAGCCTCGAAACGATGTGGACACAAGAGGGCGCCTGACACACCCCTACCAAACTCGAATGCACCGCAGTGCATCAGCTCAGGCCGGGTTCAATACTTTTTTTTAAACTGAAAAACAAGGAAACATCCAAAACAAAAGAAACAAACACTCCACATAAGTCAAACACTCAGTACATTTTTATTCTATTTACAGTGTACAAAAATGACAAATAAAACATTGTAGCCGAAGTAAAAAATCGGGATGGGGAATTTAACCAAGGTAAATCAAATTTGTTACCAGCTTAGAATTACCACAAACCTCTACCCTACACCAAACACACCTGTCTTTTATTTACAAGCGCTGCCTACCTTTTTGTGTTGGCGGCAGGTGTAGCAGCTGTAGAGGGCTCCCCTTTGGATGGCAACATCTTTTGCCTCAAAATGCATACTTCCAACAGTAGTGTTTAACACCGGTGTGACTGGGGGCCACTTATTAGGGGGCCTCATTTTCAAAAGGGGTGCATTCATTGGGTTCGATCACAGTTAAAGCACTGACCAAGATGGACTTCCATTAGATTTTTTTTGGGTTCTCTATTTTTTTTTGGGGGGGGGGGATTGGGGGATGCGGGGGGATGCAACCATGTCCAACCTAGTTACACCCACTGGTGTCAGGGGGGGGGGGTGTTTTGATTGAGGAGTTAGCAGTGTCTTGACAGCTATGCTAAACTGTTTAAACATTCTGAGAGTTATAATTTTGCTTCCTTATTAACAGCTAGCCATCTTTGTGTATTTAAGAATTTCTTTTAAGAAACATAAGAAAAGAAGGTTATTTTTGGTTTAAACACCTTTGTAACGAATACTACATGTATTTACCAAATAACAGGGTCGAGGCAGGGTCTTAATTTTTCATCCATGTTTAAGTACGGCTTATGTTAAGAAATATCCTGAATTTCTACTCAGAAATTCTTGTATTATCTCTGCAGTAAATGAACAAGCTGACAACCTGTCAAGATAGGAGAGATGCTATGAGACAGATGTATCCAGCTGGACATAACGAAAAATATCCATCATCAGATCCAAGACAACAGGGACTGACTCGTAGGGTGCTCATGTATCTTAGACGAGGAAAGGTCGTTTGTGACACAAAGAGTGAGGGGCAAAATAAACAGCATGCTACAGCATACTAGATATGTAACACCAGAGTCCTGATGATGATCAGTGCAGACTGCTGACCTTATGACCTCTCACCTCTGACACACGGGGAGCTCCTGTGCATTTTCACTTTAACACTTGTCATTTACAGATCTTCCAATCAGTTGTGGTTTTAATACGCACATGACGCAAACTAAACAAAAGAAGGCAAAGAATGTAAACTACGGTTTTGTTGAAGGGTGAACCCCCCTCCCGAAACTATGTCTAGCCCATCCCCTCCACTTCTAGATTTTCTAAGTTATTTGGACATTTTACTGACCAGCAAATACATGTATCTAGATTTCCAAACAAATTTCTGGAAATAATCCTTTAATATGAGTTGATTCCAAAACCATTCTCCCCCTTGCCAAATATATAAACCACAACCGGTGTTCACATGAAGCCCCCTGGTAACCAGTGCTTTTATAAATCTGGCCAGAAATGTACCAACTCAATGGCACAAAATACCAACGTGCAATTGGTTAATTGATTAGTTGGCAAAAAACAGAACAAGAAAAGTTTCAAGCAAAACACTAGAATAATACAAACAAGGGACAACAGAACATCCGAATAAACCCTCTCCCCCAGACGTTTTGCCTCTCTGAAGGCTGCCTTTTCCACCAAGCCAAACTCAAAATCTTATCTTCTAACCCTTGTGATCATGAAGCCCTTGTCCTCAAAGGCTGTGTCAAAACAGCCTCTGTTACTTTTTAACCCATGGTGGTCTCTGTGTGTTTTTCACACTCAACATTATTCAACTAATGAAAGGAGTGTGAGGGGAAGAATTCTGGCTATCCAACCCTGGTCTTGGGAGGTGATGTTACACTGTGAAACGAGGTTCACACTTGAGTTAGAAGAGGCAAACAGGAGATATGTCTGTAGGGTGGGCCAGCATGGAGCTGAAGGGGGGGGTGTACGGCCTAGGGGGGAAGAGGTTGGAGGGATGGGGAGACACCCCGAGGTGTGAAACCAAATTTCTCTCTGTTTGCGGACCACTTCCCCCTGAATGGCTTGGGTCTTCCGTTACTGAGCAAACTTCTCCAACCAGCAGTCAGGGGCCAGATGCAGAGATGACCATGGACTGACCATGAGAGAGAATCAGATTGATGGGGGAGAAAATCCATTGCAATGCGAGCCTTGAGGTGAGGGCACGGTGGTGGTCTGAGGCAGGTTAAGGTCCTAATGGTCATCGGACTGCAATGAAACAAAGGAAAAAAAAACAAAAAAAAAAACAATCTCTCAGTGTTAATTCCCTGCGAGTGGGAGTTTAGCAGAGTATGTGTTTGACCTGTTACCACTTGGCAACGTTTTGCTAGAAAGACAGAGTGGCCAAATCTCAACAAGAAGATGCCGGGTAGCTTACTTCTCAGTTGCATTTTTTTTTCACACGAAAGAAGACCAGCTTGTGGGATGCACATGCATTATGGATGGATTCCATCTAGCATGCTTGATTTGGACCGGGCCTTTTTCATAAGGTGCGGTGGAAACGGAAAAGCCTCACTGTTCTAAATGGAACCTGGCCCTCTTCCCACCAAAAAAAGCAAAAATTTTCTGTACTCCAATTGGTATAAATTGAAGCTTTTACCAAAGATGACACCACTGCACTGCTCATCGAACATGAAACTCTGTACAAGCACAAAGCCACATAAATCGCTGTAAACGTGTAAAAAAAACCTTTTGAGAAGAAGGAAAATGTGCTTGAAAATTGAAGTTAAAAAAGTAACTATTTCAGGACTCTTGTAAGCGGGCTGATGAAAGTCAAGCAATTTCACCTGCTCCAAAAAGTAAAAACTGACAGCAAAACTGGTCTCAGGAAGCAGCTGCGATTTAAAAAATGCACAGTGACACAAAGACATCCGAATTTGCTAAGAGACCGAAACTGATGAATAGTGTTGGCCATTTAACCCGGCTGAAAACTTACAGGAGAGGGAAAAAAATACAGGCTCATCACCCAATAATCCTCCTTTCCGCTCGGACGAGCTCTCAATAGCCCAGACATGTCACCCTCCTTTTGTTCTGTTAAATTCCCCCAAATCCTCCTTATGTTTCTCTCCTCTCCCCTTTGAAAGGGGCACCCAACCTGGGCCAGATTGCGCTATTGTTTCCCCCTGGTCCGGCATAGATTACATCTTGTGAATTACCTCCAATTAGCCATCCCACAATGGGAACGGATACGAATCATTGGTTTCTGCAGGCTGGTTATTACCACGACAACGAGATGCACACACTCTCACTCCCCTCATGATAATCTCCGACTCAAGAAAGCAACCACCAGACATGCCGTCCAAGCTCATTAAAACTACCAGAAACAATTAACAAATTTCAAAGAGAGGGAAGGGAGGCCTACCCACACAAGTAATTATGAGTTAAGACTGTGTACGACCTTTCCAATCTAGATCGCTTGTAAATATAATCACACTGGTGTTCCATCCCCTATTTCTTCAGGCGAGGGTTAGAACTGGAGGACCTCCATTTCACTGCGCTGAGACAATGGAGGAAATCTCTTCCAATGAACAAAAGAAATCTGTGTAATCCTTGCCTTTGTGAAATCTACCACCCGTCTTTTCCGAGGTCATCACATTGTCTTGTTTCAAGCCCTCTCCTGCTTGCAATTCCCACGTTGGCGGCGAGTAATTATTTCACCTGTTTATGCAAATTATTTGTGATTGAATTTGGCACGTTCTGCTTCAGGTCTCTGTTTCCTTCGCTGTCTGTCCTAATCCCGACACAGAATCTGCAGTAACTTGTCAAATCATTTTCTCCTCCCCCCCCCATTTCTAAGTTTGGGTTAATCTGGGGCCAGGTAGCTACTCAACACGACTGCTAATCAACAGGGGACAAATTGCTTTGGAAGAGGCTGGCTCTGTGCTTAGGACTTCCATTTCAGTCTCTACACTCGGACAGCTCAGAGTGATTTGTCTCGGGTTTGTCTCTGTTTCCCTGTGCCCCCGTGGCCACTCTTCTGTGACGGTGTGTATCTGAGGTTCTTTTAAACATCTAATCACTGTAAAGGGAGCCAATCAATCTGTATTGTTTATTAAATCAAATATATTCAGATTTTGGAAGCACAGCTCGGAGTGTTTATTTCCTCTTTCCTATTTCCCTGCCCCCTTGGGGGAGGGGCTCACGGGGTGTTGTATAAAAGAAGAAAAGATGAGCGTCAAGTGCCAACTATATGCACAATCCAGCATGCATCATGTTGAAACAGTTTTTTGACAGGATTAGTCAGTATTTATCTTCTGGCTGGACAGGTTGCATCATAAGAATGCCCCTCTGTCCATCCCTATCTATCCCCCGGTTTAGCTGAGTGCTATCCACTCTGCCATGCATGTACATTACACTGTATGTCTCATATCATCTCCATTCTTCCGTCTCTTAACGGTACACAGGACTTAAAGATTAGCCACTGTGATATGGTTAAGACCTACTAATATTGCAAGTCAGATTTTTTGTTGTTGTTAAAAGAGTGGGCACCGGTCGGAGAGAGGTTGCTGTGGGCTGGGGGAGGGGGGGAGGTTCGAGTCACCCAATCTGGATCCCTCTTTGTTGCTGTTCCAGTGATTGCACGAGGGAAGTGATGAAGACGAGGGGGAAAATGCATCGAAGATGGGGGAAGGGAGGTCTAGATGTGATGATTGTTACAAGGTGTGGGGAAAACGGAGTGGGGATCTCCTGCTGGCTGGCGTCACGAAAGAGGTGTGAATGTGGCGAAACAACCCCAGTCACGCTGCATGCCGTGCGTGCGGCCTGTGATGACTCATGAAAAACCCCTTCTGTATGGAATGTCTTATGCAGTGCAAAGGAAACAGTACTTTGTAAGTACTGGTGCTCAAAAGTGTCTCAATCACAATCTTTGGTTTTAAATAATTTTTTTTAGGGGGGGGTTGCAAATTCACTCTCTCTATTCTGCCTCCCCAAAATGCTTTCCAGTGTAAAACTACACAACAGCACTTACGAGGCGCACAAAATCCATTGAGATGTACTCTTGAACACTAACTGGTCCACAAAAGTAAAATGGACAGAATAAGCCAGTGGGAAAAGGTTTTTCAGAGAGAGGAAGGCGTCAAATGCTCACAACATTTTCAAAGCATCCCACACCAGCGACTGCCATTCATTAAAGTTGCTCTTTGCACAACATCCAGCGAGGTGGTTGAAGGAATACAAGTAACCCATATGATGTGAGATATGGGACGGAGAGAATCCCCCCCCCCGCCTTTGTGTTGGTCATTGTTTGATCGGAATCTCAGAAATTCTTTACAGACTTCTAGGGGGATGTGTTAGGTGACAAAAGTCTAGAGTGTGCTATAGGCTTTCGATGCTATAGATTTATCTTTGTCTGCATCTGCGTCATACATGACCGCTTTCTCCTGCGACTCTCCGAAGAACCCCGCCATAATCCTGTTCTTGTCGTGGTGAACTCGAGGTTTCTCCACAATGTGTGGCACTTGGATCTGACATTTTTGTTTTTCGGGGGGGGGGGTGGAAGAGGAGGGGGATATACCAGTAACTGCCGTGTTGTTATTGTTATTTATTGTGCAAAGGCGGAGGATGTGATGTTACAGCAAGAATCCCTTGGCGGATTGGCCCGATGGTGGCCTTTCAATAAACGTCCCACCATCAGTCTTTTTCAATCACGGCTTGGCGGGGACAGTCAAAGCGCAACAATCCCAGTGAAGGGGGGGAGGGAGAGATCCTGACACCTCCGCTCTCCCCTCCGCTGGCGACCGTCTCATCTATTATTCAGGGCGTTACGTGGTGCAGTCACGCTCCAACAGAGTAAGGGATGATCTTTTACCATCGCTTGTTCCAAGTTTTTTTTTCAAGGGATGGCGCTTCACGTTTAGGGTCTAACTACACATACGAAGGCTAAGTTTCATGCAGCTGCAATTTGGTTAAAAGCAAAAGTATTTTAGGTTTTTAACAAACCGGTGTTACAGTCAGAGGGAAGAGGAGGAAAAGGGGACAAGGCTGATTCGAGTTCAGAGACTTTCCTCCCAGAGATGTCCTCATGTTAATTTAGCTACTGGAAACAAATAAGCATGTGTGAACACCCACGTATGCATAACCACATGCAACCAATGTGCAAGTCCCTCAGTATGCTCAGCGCTGGGGACACACCGTTGCTATAAGAAGTCAAAGTTCCTCCTCGCTCTTTGAAAGAAAAGTTTGCGGCACAGAAAAAAAAAGAGATTGAGGAACAGACCTGGGACAGCTTTGCAAGTAACTTCGCCACCTCTTAATGTGACCAAAAAAACATTGGGCCTTCAGATCATTAATACAGGTTTCATTGGAAAGAGCAGAACTGGTACAATTATTCGACTGTGCCAATAGATGAACATTCCTTGTATAGATTATGACATGGATTTGGTTTCCTAACAAACATGTAAGGACTGAGAGTTCTGTGTTTCCACGACAGCAGCGACCTAGTTTCAGTATTTCCACTCTCTATCAACATCTATCCCATTTATATTCATCCAATTTGTAAGCTAAGTGCACATACAAAATATAACAAATCCTGACGATAGGAGACCAGTCTTGTTTTTTAAATTTTACCCTCAGCATCTGCCAGTCAATGAAGATCAATTTTAAGAAGAAAAAAAAATCCCTCACTGGCAAGTACAAGTATGCCAAAAATTCTTTTTCTATGCGTGTGTGGTACTTGATGTTATTTTACAGACGTGGACAAACAAGATTGTCATGTGAAGTGCGGGGAGGAGGTTGAAGGAATCGACCGTCAGTCCTGCCTCCTTCTTTTACCCCTGAAATGAAGGCGAAATCATCAAACCACAAGGGCAACACGGGTGCATGGCTGTCTTGCCACAATTTGCATCTGAGCACATGTGTATCAGTGGACAACTTGGGAAGGATTTTGATAGATCGGGCCATTCCATGCTCAAGAAAAAAAGAAAGGATTACAAAAAAAGAACTGCTTCTTAAAATACACTTGCTAATCTTCCTCCCTGGCAAGCAAACACTGCAAAATATTCAAGTTCTCTTTGTGCAGCCAGCAAATACAAGTTTGCCCACCATTTCCCACGTTGCACTGCCAAAAATAGCCTTTCCTTGGCAACCGGTATTGTAAATTGGCCCCATCTGACTATTCAGTTCCCTTTACCCAACAAAACCCTGATTGCAATTCTCAGCTTCAAAGTTTCTCAGTCGATATGATGCCACTTAGTCACGATCCCCAGCCA